ATATTGGCGATCGAAATGGGCTGCAGGTGGCGTAGAGCAGAACTCTTTTCCTATGGCAACACTTCACATGCTTTCCCCATTAGCTCGTGGAAAGTCATAGAGGAAGGAAGTACGCTAGTTTCTCTCTTGATGTTCATATAGATTAAAATCTTTTAAGTTGCAAAACTATATGGAACTAAAAACTACATTAAACATAGTTTTAAAGAAAAGTATCACGGGAATTTTGAAAAATATTTTTATTAAATAAAAAGGAAAAATATTAAGAAAAGGGAAAATATCGTAGAACATTCCTATACAAATGAAAAGTGGTGGAGAGAGAAGGGCTAAAGGCATGAAACCGGTCTCTCCCCAGATGGCGTATTCGAGTGTTGCGATCGCCAATATACATTTCTGTATCTATATAATTCGGAAACCAATAAATAATTACTTGAAATAGTATAATTTTAATTGATTATTTATAAATTTTCATCGTTTTCTTGGTAAGCATTTTTTAATTTTGAGTGATTAATTTAACTAGATCTAGTTTTTAGGTTATATATTGCAATTCGTATCAAGATCTTGCAAATACATATATTATTATTATGTGGTATGTCATCTTAAGGTAATGAAAGGATAATCTATGTATAAATTATTTGAAAATAAAATTTTCACGAGAAAAACTTTTCGTTTTGAATTCGCCGGATTTATGAAGCAGGGTTTTTATAATGACAAATTACCGACCGGTCTGTGTAGGGGGCAGGGAGCCGTCCTTGCATCAGAAAGGTTCTGGGTTCGAATCTCGGGCAAGGCACGAATGTTCTTTCCTTCTCTGTACTATCTGCGGGTGGTGACCATTTGGATCAGTCTGCGTAGGGACCGGTATTGGTCCTCGTAAAGTGCTCGGGTGCCATTCCCTCTGCAAAAAGATCAAAATTCTGATGGCATGTCTTCGGATCATCCTCAGGGATGTTTCCCAGACCGTCGCCAATAGCCCATTGTGCAGTTCTAGTGCGACGTAAATGAACTACAACAACAACAAACCTCTAAACAAAAGATTCCATTTTGTTTTCGCTAGCATTAGAAAGACTATCAAACATTTCTCCTTTTGAAATGTCGCAAGCCACAATAAAGAAAGAACGTTACAATGCTACACTGAAGACATATCCAGTCCAACTGATGATCTTGTTGTTCTGCTAGCAGTCATTTGTCTCAAATAACAACGCCCTCTATGGGTCGTGGCTTTCAAGAATTGTGATATTTCTTAAAATTTATGCAAAGTTTTAGTAGAGTTTTTCGTAAGAGTTTTTTGTAATTTATAAATTCAAAAAGGTTGTGCTCCTAAAACATATTGTAAAAAATTATTATCCCAACATATAAAATTTAAGGTTTGCCATTTCTTGAGTGTTATCCCTTAATTGGCTACATTTGTGTAAAATATCACCATTTGCTTTTTTGGAGGGAAAATATCATAGCATGCTATCAGTAACTTCAGAATTCATTTGTTATTTGTTTCGTTGAAAGTTAAATCAACTCAAACATGTTAAACGCTTGAAATGTAATGATATTGAATTAGGCGCTTTTTCAAGCTTAGACGTAAAAATCAATCGGAAATAGTAACCCGGAAGTTTCACGATTTCCTCCGCTTATGTTATGCTTACGAGGCGATGTGTGAACAGATTTATTATTGTGAGTGTTGAAATTTACGCTTGATTTTATCATTCATAAGAGTTTCCTATAATTTATAAATTCTAATAGGTCGTGAGCCTGTGGCGTAACTACCACTACGAATATTAAACATCAATTCACTGGTATATAAGACATGCTAACTTGATTCAATCAGGAGGTACCTTTTGATAGATGAAGGTTGGCATTGTCGATAACTCCGCCCCCACATTGGTGACCCGGACGTGATTTGTACACGCAGTAACACTCACTTCGATGGATGATCTACATTGAACAGTTGACTTGTGACTGCGACATTATCCACCTCCTCACGCTGTTTCTGCTCAGTCTCGTCTCGATCATACTTAACGTCAGCCTGCCAAAGGCAACACAGGATCGACTACGACTGTGAAGTTAATGCACCTCTCACATTCAGCACTCAAAAACCCGGTGACCTTAATTACAGCTCTCCCAGTCTTTCACAAGTACAGCAACTAGTGGTATCAGCTCATCGAATTCTATCCCTGATAAAATTCTGGTGGGGGGAGTATTGTGGCGTAACTACGAATATTAAACATCAATTGACTGGTATATAAGACATGCTAACTTGATTCAGTCAAGAGGTACCTTTTGATATTTGAAGGTTGGCATTGTCGATAACCCCGCCCCCACAAGCCTAAGACTAATTTAACAAAATTAATACCACTGCTTAAATAAAGAGCAATGTTTTGAATGTTATCCCTTATTTGTGTAAAATAGCACCGTTTGTTATTTTTTGGGTAGCATCATAGCCAGCTTGCGGAGTCTTTCGAATTCATTTGTTTCGTTGAAAGTTAGATTGAAAGAACGTGGTGTATTGAAAACACTGCAAGTATAATAATATTGGATGATGCGTTTTTGAAAGCTTTTTTAGGCGTAAAAATTCTTCGGAAGTAGTAACCCGGAAGTTTTTACGACGAATTTTAACTCCTAGCGGCATCAGCGCCTAGCTTTATACTGTCCGCCTTCCATAGTCCTAAAAATATAACACACAAGTCGCTAACACAACCATGAATTTAAAAACCGAAAAACAATTAAATTAAGAAAACAAATTTAAAAGAACGAGAAAATTTTTGGAATTAATTGATTAATTTAAAAAAGGCTCCTCCATAGTGATTAGTGGGAGCTGAGTTGTCGGCCATTATGGAGCAAACAAGTTCGCTAGTTACGTAATGTTAACACTAGCGCGAGAGTTTGAAGCCCATTTAGATATTTAAAATTATTGTTGCTGTTCATTTACGTCGCACTAGAGCTGCACAATGGGCTATTGGCGACGGTCTGGGAAACATCCCTGAGGATGATCCGAAGACATGCCNCATCCTCAGGGATGTTTCCCAGACCGTCGCAGCATTGTGCAGCTCTAGTGCGACGTAAATTAACTACAACAATAAAACAGAAAAACTCGAAACAATGAAATTAAGAAAAAAAATTAAAAGAACGAGAAAAATTTTGGAATTAATTGATTAATTTAAAAAAGGCTCCTCTATAGTGATTAGTGGGAGCGGAGCTGTCGGCCATTATGGAGCAAACAAGTTCGCTAGTTACGTATTGTTAACATTAGTGCGAGAGTTTGAAGTCCATTTAGATATTTAATATTATTGTTGTTAATTTACGTCGCACTAGAGCTGCACAATGGGCTATTGGTGACGGTCTTCGAAACATCCCTGAGGATAATCCGAAGACATGCGATCACAATTTTGATCTACTGCAGAGGGGATGACACCCCCGTTTCGGTAGTACCCTGCACGCGAAGTCGAGCACTTTACGGTAGAACAGTTTAACGAGGACCCATACCGCACACCCTCGATCCCTTCGACTGATCGAAGTGGTCACCCACCCGCACACTGACCGTAGCCAGGGATGCTTGACTTCGTTGATCTGCTGGGAACCGTGTCTTAACGATCAGTCCACTGCGGGACCGCAGTAAGTATGAGTTCGGGACACTTTAGCATAGAAAGCAGCAGAAGAAATAAAATTACAGTAGAGTACCGATTATCCGCTTTAACCGAGCTATCAAATATTTCAAAGATTTTTTTTTATTATTCTAGTTTATTTTTAAAACTACCCCGGAAAAAAATTCGGAATTTTAGCTTCCAAACACTGAGGAAAACAAGCTGACAGACAACACGGCATATCGTCAATAATGAAAATGAATCTAGCGAAGATGATGACAGTGACGATGAAAATGAACAAATAAAAATGTCTCATACAGATGGACTAATAGCTATCGAATACATAGAACAAGGAGATGTGGTTACATCAGCTTTCCTGTTATCCTTAAAAAAATGGCGAAACATTGCCTCAGAAAAGCACAAAAGTAAAACAAAAAACTATTACGTTTTTTTTAAAGCAAAAACTCTTCAAGTGTTTTTGCGTAAGCTTTTTAATTATAATATGAATTGTATGTGGTGTACTTGTTTAAATTTTGTATTTGTTTAATATATTACATTTACACATACTCCTTTTCTTTCCCTTTAATTCTCTTAGCTTTAATCGAGTTTTTCGGTTATCCAAGTTAGTTGTGGTCTATATTAACTCGGATAATCGGGACTCTACTGTACTTCCATCTCAGTTGTGAGGGTAAAGATCAGAAAACTTTTCATAACCTAATGCTCCATTACATGCTCTGCTACTTCCTCACGCATCACTCGAGCCATAGCTGGAGTATGGTGTAATATATTTATGCTATTGCTTGAAAAAGGCAAGCTCCGTTGGTAATAAATGGTATGACGTATGCACCATAGCACTGTTTATGTCTAAAATTTAAATATTTTTATCCATTTTAGAAAGGATTAAGAATAAATCTAAATAATTACATCGTAACTAAATTTTTATGTCTATAAAAATACAAAATTATTCTAAATAAATAATTAACACATTCGCCAATTCTAACGTATAGATAATATTATTTAACACAACCTAATAAAATGAACATTAACTATAGTGTTTCCAATTGATAGAGTAATACTCAAGTTTATGATGATCAAATAAGAGATCAAGTTATCAGATAAGAGAAATGAATCATGTATTTTGTTAACAAAATGTTCTTTGTTTTAGTGGAAAATTATCGACTTTCAAGAAAAAAAAAAAAAATGATGAATGCGAAACAATCATGGGGGTTTGTAAACAGTATACTTAAAATAGAAAAAAAAAGGATAAAAATGCTTAAACATATTTACCTTAATTTAAAAAAAAAAAGTTTTTTTTTTTTTTCCTAAGCAGTGAGGTCTTTTTTTCTTTATAATACTTATCTGTAAAATATAACACAAACACATAACAGTAAATACAAACTTTATAATTGTGTGTGGTGAAACGTTATTTTTCACTTACATAGATACTTCACAAACATAGTGAGTAAATACAAAAAGGAAAGTAAAAATAGCAAAATCTAAGACAATGCAATTTACAAAATTCCAGACTGCAATGATTCTAGATATTAGTCTCTCTTTGATCCCACAAAGCAGTAAAATACCAGAGATGAGAGAACCTTCCACAGGCTTGCTAAACATCTGAAACATAAATAAATCTAAGAAACTCAAATGCAAATTTAAAATAAGAAATCAGAAAAAAATTTCACACCTCATTATTCTTAAACAATATCATCAAATAGAGGTTTTACAGTACATATTATGTTAGGGATCACATCTTTTCGAAGAGGGTCATAGCAGAAAAAATGGCTTCAGGGAGATGCAATGACTGTTTTTAATAATTTAAAAATTTTTTTTAGTGTAGTTAAAAAAGTAAAAATTTTTGTCTCAGAATTTAAAGCACAAAGTACAGTGAATTATATACAGGGTTATTCAAAAAGCTTAACGTGATATTACACAAACTCTGCATTATAATTTTTCTTATGAATTAACTTTAATTAAAAACTAATAGAAGCAGATAAATGTATAAGTGAAAATGTGTACTGACTAGTTGTATCCTTTAGTTACTGGTCCTTTAGACCAGAGACTAAAATTTTCTTATTTCTACCCTTGATATTGATTTAATATTCAAATCTGGCAAAAGAAAAATCTTCCAAATAAAAGCAAATTTGTAGTTTTATTTTTAGTAAAATTAAAGACTAAAATTTAAATTATCTGTTTGAAATTTTTTAATTAACTCTACCAAATTCTGACTTCAAATAAAAATAGTGATATTTAAGAGATATATTATTCACCTTGAAACTGTTATAAATTTAATTTAACACTCACTAAAATATAAAAGTTTTTTTTAAACCTTATCAAAATTTTTAATTCATAACATTGTTACTTAAAAACAAAACAACATCTTTACGTTCAAAAATGAAAAAAAAAAAAAAAAAATCAGATATTAGATAAAATCAGGTAGATTTTAGTGAGAACTTCATTATTATGGAACAAAAAAAAGTACCAAGAGCACACTGGACAAATGATTAATTTGTAATGTACACTGTATGAGGCAAATATTCAAATGCAATGATTACAGATCATTCGCTATGCAATTTATATGGGTAATTCTCACGAAAACTGTCATTTTTCAGTTCATAAAATCCCAAAAAAGTAAAGTGAATAAAAAGCTCTGAAACTTTTTATATTAATAGAAATNTTTAATTTAACACTCACTAAAATATTAAAGTGTTTTAAACATTATCAAAATTTTTATTTCATACCATTGCTACATAAAAACAAAACAACATCTTTACTTTTAAAAATGAAAAAAATAAAATCAGATGTTAGATAAAATCAGGTATATTTTACTGAGAACTTCATTATTATGGAACAAAATAAAGTACGAAGAGCACACTGGACAAATGATTAATTCGTAATGTACACTGTATGAGGCACATATTCAAATGTAATGATTACAGATCATTTGCCATGCAATTTATTTAAAGATCTGAAAAAAAAAATCTTCTTGATCTTCATTGTATCGATATTTTTCTTGATAGTGCAAATCAACATTTTAAACAATGATAGAAAAACTTGAATAAAAAAGAAAAAATTAACTCAGCTTTTTACAGATTCAAAGGAAATAGTTTGACTTTGCCAATAAAGTTCCTTATGGTACTGTAAATTTTTTACATAAGAATTAAAATATGAGCATTATTTATTTCTTATTTAATCAACAACATGATCAAACAATGAACTTCTTACATAATAAATATTTATTTAAATATTTCTTTTATAAAAGTGTACAAAAAGTATTTGTTTTACTCAAAAATTCTTCAGATTATCAATAAAATTCTTTCTTGCTTATCAAATATGTTCATAAAATAATTAAAACTATTTATTCTCAATTACAAGTCATTTTTCTTCTGTAATTTTTTCATTTATTAACAGTTTCCATTTTGTAAAAGCTAATCCATAAATAAAAATCATACAGTGTTATGTCTGTAACACCAAATATTATGTCTACAATATTTGGTGGTAAACAAATTATTTTGCGTATTTTAGAATTATTAAGAGTCACAATCTTTAAAACTTGAATGTTTTTGAAAATGTTTTAAACTTCTGAATATATACTAAAAAAGCTTTTTTAAAAAAATTTGGTAAAATTTATAGAAATATGTTAACTAATTGCCTGTTGTGCAATTTTAACATTTGTAGAAATTAGCTCAGCAACAGTCAGTTTTTATTTTTTAAAACATTTTCAAATTTATGGAAGTTAAAAAGTGTCAGCTAAAAAGAAGACCAAAAGAGTTTTGCCTTTAAAAAATATTTCATAGTTTTTTATTAAGTTATACATATTCTTAGTCTAAATATGTTATTTCTTTAACAGTGGAATTGCCCTATAGTAAATGAAAAGATTTTTCTGAAAAATAGAAATTATGCAGTTTTATGTATCTTTGCAAAATCAATAAGCTCTGATAACTTGATTAAGGTTTTCTTTAAACAGAGATTTACTGTCAAATACTTGAAATAAGTAAAATTAGGCATAATGAGATAAAAGAAATGTAACTAAGTTGCCGCCAAAATCCTTTTCATTAAATGAGTTATACCTATCTTTTGTCCCTAAAATGTGTCTATTTTTCCTTAAAAAAATTTTAATAAATTTTTTAAAAAATTTATTAAGAATTAAAAAAAAACATTATTACAAAACATTTTCTATTACCAGCATTATGATACATTTCAATACATTTTAATTATTGCAGTTGATACTTTTTTTTCCCCATCAATCCCCTTGTTATAAGTCGAAGCAGGTTCTATGTAAATTAATATTCAAATGGTACCATAGGATTACAAAGTACTTAATTATTTACATAGTATGACTAAATTACTTTATAACAAACACTATAAAACATAAATTAAAGTTTGTATCAAAGATAATGAAATGAAAATAAATTATTTTTTATTTACCTGTGATTCTAATTGTGACCAAGCCAAAAATGCTAATTCAAGCATTATTAATGGGAGATATATTGTCTGCAAAATATGTAAATATATTTATTACAATAAATCAGCAAATTCAAAAACTAAGGACACAGAAAGTAATACTACATATTAAATTTAGACAAAATTAAGTAAACAACCTTGAGTAGAATTAAGAAAAAAAAAACTGTATTTGAGATTAAGGAGGTTCCAAAACATTGAATAATTCGATTTTGGAGGTTAAATAAAGTAAGGTAGATATTTTGGGATTTTTAACAACAGAAGATGTAAATCTCTAGAGTGAAGAGTTGAAGTTTCAAGTTTCAGAAATCATACTTTATAAGTAGATCAGGTCAATTTTTGAGAATTGTCCTATTTTACTTTATGAAGCAATTTAGGTTCATTGTATTAAAGTTATCTTAAACTGTTTTTACTCATTTAAATGAGAGCATTTTAGCAGTCATATTCTTGTAAAACATTTTGTTCTAACGATCAACTAAGCAAATGAGAAAGATGATAAGCAAGCAGAGCAAATAAGAAAAACCCTATAAATTATAGAGAAATATGTTTTTAAAATTAACCNAAAAGTGGGCAAAGGATATGAACAGACTATGTGGAAGTTAAAAAAAAAAAAAAAACACTTTTAATTTTTGTTTTGTTTTAATTACAATATTTTAATTACTATTACTCTATTAAGTTAACTTTGATCTAAATTCAACTTCATAGTGAGTATTAAAGTTAGTCCAGTAGCTGAACACTCATTTAAACTTTGTCCTTGTTGCATAGTAATCGGCGGTGAAAAAAAAATAAAAAAAAAAAACAGCTGTCACTTAGGATCTACTAAATAGAGGAAAATTGAGGGCACTTCTCTTGATTTTCTCTCTTTTAAGTTCTGGAAATTTCTTTCATATTAGCTCTAATCTTATTATGTCCTGGTTAGAACATTCTTTACAGCATATTTGTAAAAAGAATATAACAATTTTATAGATATATTACTCATACTTATAATATTTTTAGAATACATATCAATATTTAAGGTAACTATTTGTTCTCGATAAAAAATTAAAAAAAAATTATAGTTTTATGAAGTTTAATGCTAGCTGACATACATATCTTTGGCATGCATGTAACTCCGCAGAATTGAAAAGGAAGAAGTTGAACGTAAAATAAAAGTTAAAAAAATTTTTTTACACAGTTTTTCACTGCTATGAACAATTTCTTGGAGCCCTAAAATGTATTAAAAGTTTAATAACTTAACCACTGTTACCAAATTTATTAAATTAGAGAATATATTGTTTAGGAGATACTGGCCATCAATGATATAAAAATCAACATAACAAAAAATTTAAAAACTCATAATTTGAATATTGCCTTGTATCTTAAATCAGGAAACAAAGTTAGTTTCTTTGATCAAATTTACATTAACATCTCTGACTATGCTATTTTTCAGTTAGTTAATTTTTTTTACATGTATCTTGATCCACCATAATCAACTACAATACTGATTATGTGCATTTCATAAATCAAGTGAATTCTAATATTCTCATCAAAATGCGTAATTCTTAAATTTAGTGAATCATAAGTTGCAAGAATATGAACAAGACATGATTAATAAAATTTGAGCATCTAAGTAGCAATATGTAATTTTTAAATTCTGTATAGATCGTCTGCAATATGAAATTTGCACATCATGAAAATAATAAAAAATAAAAATAATTGAAAAGTAGCAATTCAATTGAACAAAATTAACCATAAATCCAATTTGTGACTGTGATGCCACAGTTGGCATTACATATTTATTTCCTATCCTTTAAAATATCTTTGATTACTTAAGCTTATTTTTATTAATAGAATTATATTTAAAATAAATCAAAGACTTAATCTTTTAAAACGAACATAAAATATTTATTTCTTCTCGTATAGATCAATGTAACGGATACTTTTCATTTCATTACTGTGCAGACTTATTATTCACTGTCGCGCCTAATTGAAAACAAAATTCTATTTATAACTTTTTATTCTAAATTTCTAACCGCTAAATGTTTCGGTTGCAATAATTCTCATAAATTTGTTGGCGACTCGTGATCGCCAAGGTATTCTTTTAAACCCAATATTGATATGCTGGTTGGCTTTGCTTTGGCTATGTTATATTTTGATAATTCTCCAATTTTGGATCTCCTGTCCATACTGGCTGTGTCCGTTAGGAACAAATGTATTCACTTTTAATTTCAAATTTGTAGAGACATTGAATGCCCTTAGGGGCCTTCCCAGTCTCAATTACTAACCGTCAGAAATGATATTCTGGCTGTATGTTCTCTCAATAGATAGCATTCTGATTTGATTCCCTTAAGGGATTTATTTTTTTGGATGTCTATATCACCAATTATGTTTAATAAAATAAATTTTCACTAAACGATTTATATATTGTTTCCTGAACAGGATCATTTTTAATATTTTCATAATCAAGATATATTTTTGTACGGCCAAGTAAAATCCCCTTTACGATTAATGGCGGCCACTGATGGAGAACAACCTCCACCATAGAGACATAATATCTGGAAAGAAAATGATCAAATCAATTTTATATTGACCTATAGTATTATCTTTCATTTGCTTCTCCCAACAAAAGCAATATAATATGGTTATGGGCACCAATTTATTTTAAGATAAATGAGTAATCAATTTCAAATACCCTTACTCGTAGTTTACGGATTGAAGATTCAAAAGAAAAATCTAACAAAGTATACCGAGAGCCATGGTGGCTCAAGGGATAGAGTGCACGCCTCTCAATGAGGTGACCCGAGTTCGATCCCAGTGATAGCTGGTCGATTCAGCGATAAAAATATCCTCAGTGGTATACGAGTCATGGGTTAGAGTCTCCATGCCATCAGGCTAACCGTGGAAAGTTTTCGTGGTTTTCCCCTCGATGTAATGCAAATGCGGGTTAGTTACATCAAAAAGTCCTCCACAAAGACATATTTCTCCCAAACCTTGATCTAGGAGTTCCCTTGTCTTTTGGATAGGGTTCAAAATTGCAAGGCTACGGAGTTGAGCATTAGTAGCTGTAAACCCTAAATGGGGTCATCTGTTCAACAACAGTTATACATTATATATATAAGATAAAATACACCTAAACTGTAGTGGCTCAGGGGATAGAGCGTTAACGTTCCAATGAGGTGAACCGAGTTCGAATCTCAGCGATAGCTGGTCGATAAGAATTCAGCACACGGCTCGCACCAACCACAGTGCAGGCGTAAAAATATCCTCAGTGATAGATGGATCACAGGTTAGAGTTACCTTGACATTAGGCTAACCGTGGGAGGTTTTCCTCTCCATGTAACACAAATGTGAGTTAGTTCCATCAAAAAGTCAATCACGAAAGCAAATTTTACCCAATACTTGATCCAGGAGTACTCCTGTCTTCTGGATTGGAATCAAAATTATGAGGTTACGGAGTTGAGCATTAGTAGTCGTAAACTCAAAATTTGGGATGGGTGCTTAACGATGGTTATATAATAAAATAAAGTATGCCGCAAGCTTCGAATCTCAGCGAAGGCTGAAACGAATTCCACACCCGGCTTGCATTGCCCACTGTGCTAATATAATTTAAAAAATTAAAAACTTTCAACAGATAATGTGCCACCACTTATTTTTCCTAAATAATAAAAAATAAATACTGAGAATTACAAGTTAAAAATTAGTTTACATGCATTTTGGTTGTTGTTCATTTACGTCGCACTAGAGCTGCACAATGGGCTATTGGCGATGGTCTGGGATAGATCCCTGAGAATTATCCAAAGACATACCATCACAATTTTGATGCTCTGCAGAGGGGATGGCACCCCCGCTTCGGGAGCCTGACGACCTGCACGCCAAGTCGAGCACTTTACGGTAGAATAGTTTAACGACGACCAATACGGCACATCCTCGGTCCCTACGCAGACTGATCCAAGTGGTCACCCACCCGCACATTGACCGCAGCCGGTGATGCTTGACTTCAGTGATCTGCTGGGAACCGTGTTTTAACGATCAATTCACTGCGGGATATGCATTTTGGAGTTATAATAGTATCAATATTATTGTGCGTTACAAGGTGAGATAAATTTTGATAGTGTTTTTATCAATGAAAATTCCACATTTTGATTTATGAATAAAATTTCTAAATACTTTTTCTTTAAATATTTTTAAAGTAAAAAAGTTAATTCAAGATAAAAAAAAGCAAAAAAAAAAAGCCTAAGTGTTTTATGGCTTATTGTGAACCTGAGCGTTATTCTGGGCTTTTACAAAACTTTAAGCTAGTGGCTTTCCTTCAAAAAAAAACACAGTTTTCCACATGTTATTCAGAGCGGAAGTAGTATCGAACAGAGCAATTTCATTATAATTTTGCAAGGGGCTCTACGCTTGAAGGATTAAACACAGTAAAAGGATAAACAAAAAGGCTATAATTACCTCACAGCAAGGTAGTACATGTGTTATAAGTAAATAAATTCTCAATATGAAAGCCCCCAGACATATTATCCAAGGACGAAGAAGGTTGAGACTTAAAGTAGAAAACTGGAAAGTCTCCATCATCATTTGGGTGCAGGTACTATTACGCCGAGCATCACCTCTCGTCCTTCTGAAGGAACGAGACTCAGCATCAGATACTTTCTTTGGGAATGTGTAATTCTCAGAACTCCCAGCTCGAGAAAAATTTCCATTGACAGTAGAAAGGTCATCAACAAAAAACTGTTCATTGAATGTCTCAAAACTTTCATGATTCAGATGGGAGAGTTGCTCACTTGAAAAATCATCATCAGCATTAGTTAGAGAGTCATTAATGTCATGTTCAGAACTATGATACTGATCTATTTCAAAATTCTGATTTGCCTTTGTTTGTTTTTCATTGTGCTCCTCAAGAACATGTTCACCTAGAAGATATCAGAAATAAAATTAATTTTAAATTAAAATATTATGAAATAAATAATATTATGGATTTTTATAATATAATATAGCTGCTATGGATTTACGTATGAGCTGTTGTAAGAAAACTTTACAAATAATATAAGGTATTCCTGCAACAACGTATTGTGGTCTAGGGGTTACGGAGGTTAAAGCTCTAGAATTTCATTATAAACAACATGATGATGGCAGTGTGGTAAGCATTAAGCACCAACTGTCTTTATCTACAAACAAGGAACCTATTGATTTGAAGCTAGATGGGCTTTTAGCTGCATCAGGAGATCGAATTCCAGTTCTTCATACTATACAGAGACCTGAACACTGAACCATTGTGGCTTATATTAACAAATGAGAAAGAAAAATATTTTCTTCAGAAGATGTGGAGTTTAGAGCTGTTGTTACAGTATTATGGTGTAATAACTGCGGAGATTACATCATCATTCTTTATCATGTAATACTGAGAAGAAATCATGTGATACTACTTCCTTGTACTTGAGAGGCGCCATCCAGTCCAGAAGGGGAAGTCCCGAAGGGAAACTCCCGAATTTATAATTAACTCTTGATTTTATAACATAGAACAATCTAATTCTTATTCACATGCATTCCGGAGACCACTGCGCGAAGGCAGCTCTCACGAGTCATGTCAATAACGTTAACTGTTAAACTTATCCTTCTATCCTTTTTATTTCCATTAAATTGTTATGTTTGTTAAATTATCCTCGTTATTTACTCCTATGCTGCACTAACTCCCACATACATTAAAGTAAGAATTTTTTTATGCAATAAAATATTAGGAATGAGAGTTTGCTTTATATCTAGATTTTTTGTTTTTTGAATTGTTTTAATAAAAATATCGGCTGAATATTAATTTTTTTCTACTGAGTAAATAAAATTATGTATATTCAATGTATTGGTATTAATTAACATTACGCTATCATGCCAGAATAAATTTTTGACACTAGACTATTTTCTTTAGTTTAAACTGTCATGCCAAGCCAAAACCTCGTTTTTGACAATTCTTAAAAACCGATATATTGCAAAAAAAAAAAAAAAAAAAAAAAAAAAAAAAAAAAAAAAAAAAAAANAAAAAAAATAATTGTTAGCCATAAAAATATGAAGCGATTATAAATGAAAGTCCATAAAACTTACAAGTAATCAATCTACTACATGTGTATTTTAATGATTTTGACATCAAACCTTTTTGTTTTGACAATAACCATCAAAAATCCAAAATATTGGTGTAGAAATTACATTCTATTATAAACATAAAACAATTATAAATAAAAGTAAGAAAAGTTGAAATTTATCTAATCTGTTAATTTCATTCGTTAAATGCTGCCACAAATGATGGCTATAGCTCTCCGATTTTTGACATAGTGCAGGCAAATGCACATTTTAACTAATAAAAAAAGTAACACTTAATCCTTCAAATTTAGAGCAGTTTTCGAACCTCTGGATGTACTACTCATCAAATGTTTTATTATTTTCATCGTAGGTTTCAAACGTAATTTCAGTTAGCAGAATTGTTTTAACTTTTGATTCTGGAGGTGATGCAGTTGACGATTTGGAAACTTTCTGGACTATAGCAACCAGGTCAGCAGTTTTTGAAAACTTATCCCTTATTTGTGTATTTAATACACTAGTGTAGTATTATTTATAGCATCTTTTAAAGTAATTTTTGTAAGCATTTTTATAGCACCAGATGGCACTCTCTTTAAAATGCAGAGTAAGCTTAATTATGTAACAGGCAGTTGATTATAGCTGAATAAAATATTGCTATTGGTGTTGGTTGATTTTCTAAAATTACCTTCATCTCATCAATTTTCAGTTTAATACATTGATAAAAGATATCCAATATTTCGAATAACAAATGGGAAGAGGAAAAAAAAAATGTTGTGATAAGCTAATGGCAATTTCATCCGCCAAGAGTTTTTATGGAAAAACTATCACAAAACGTGATAATTTTCACTTAAGCACCTAAAAATAATTTACTTTTATTTCATATGGTAGTCACAAACAAATGAAAAAAAAATGTGTTTCTAAACATGATCCTCAATTTAAAAGTGTGCGGCAACATGCTAATGAATTAGAATTATTAATTGCTTTGCATAATTAAATTATAACTATTAAAACGTCTACAGACTAAAGTTTGTTTAATACGTAAACAAATGTAATAATCTATTATTAAGTTTAATACAAAATAAAAGTTTACATTAAAAAAAAGTATGTATTAGGAAATTTATCCTAATAATTGCACTAAATATTGATAATAACTTAATTGAAACCCTTGAATTGGTTGATTGAGAAATATTAATAATTGATTTAAACATTCATATTTTTGGTAAATTATAATTAGTTTAGTTATCAGGGAATATATTATAATCATTATTTATAGAAAAGGTTCATGTACAGTGCACAAAATGAAAAACGGACACCCCCGAATAACTTTTGATCTAATGATAGGATCTTTACGTTCTAGGACTAAATCTTAAAGGTTCGATTGGGTGACCTCAAATATGCTAATAATATTTTAAGTTACGAAAAAAGACACGAAAAAGTACTTTTTCTGAATAATAGATTGGGATCCCTAACCCCTGAAAATATAAGGGGTAGCCTTATTTTGGGAAATCTGGCCCCAATGGTTTGATCAGGAGAGAGGTCCAAAGTTTGAACCTCTCAATGTTAATTTTACTTTTTGCGTATTTTCTCAGATCCCGAGGACTTTTTAAGTGCAAAATTTCTGAACACAATTGTAAAAATTGTCTATCCTAAGAGAATTCCATACAAGAAATAGATTTTAGTAAAATTGATCAAATCGAGTTTCTGAAAAATCAAATTTTGAAAAAGTTGTATTTTAAAAATTTGATTTCTCAGATGCTATTAGACGCAAATTTGAGAGAATTAGCTATTAGCTCAAATTTTGTATTTTACCATGTAAAATTACATTTCTTTAAAATGATGTGAAAAATTTTACGCCTAACAATTCAAAATTTTTTCTACTATTATTAAATAAAATAACAAAGAATAATAAATATTTACTAAAAGCTATTTTTCTTTGCATGGAATTCTTTTTAAATAAATGAGAGTTTCGTAATTGTCTTCAAATTTTTTTAACTTTACTTAAAAAGTTCTCGAGATATGGCCAAATACCGAAAAATTAAAATTAATATTAAAGGGGTCCAAACTTTGGATCGCTCTCAAAAAAAATATTATCGGAACCATATTTCCCTGATAGCTGCTACCCCTTATATTTTGGGAGTCAGGAATCTGAAACTGTTGAAAAAAGGTATGTTTATTCAGAGAAAGTACATTTTTGTGTTTGATTAGAAAATTTAAAATGTCGTCTGCACTAATTAATTAGTATAATTGGGATCAGCCCCTCAAACTATAAGGATTGAATTCTAGTACGTGAAATCCAATTATTAGATCAAGTTACTCATGTTGGAAATATGATTGGTAATAGTAACAAATCATTCGAATCTATGCGCGTCGTTTACCTCTAGTTAAGTCAAAGAATATATAATATGAGGGTTAAGTCACGGGGTGACGTCGTTAAAGTTCGATCAGCGGGAGTGGTAACAAATCACGCTCGTGAAACCATGTTTTCTTTGCGGATGAAGCCAGTTACTACTCAACTCTTCACCTACTTGTAAGATAACTTATGCTAGATGCTCAGTAGCTTATAATTGGTCGATGATGCCGAATGTTGATGAAAAGGCCGAAACTTAATCAGATCTCTCTCACCATCATTCTCGTTCCAGACTTTGAGGAGTAAGGTTGTTTTATAAGCGAGCTCTGCCCTATAATGTCATCACACCGATTTAACAACCGGGGGAAGGCTTTCCGATCCTACCGTGAACTCACCACCGATCCTCCCGATCTCGAGGAAAAGATGTATATGAAGACAATGAAAATGATTCAACTTAGTTTACACAATAATGCAACAGCAGAGACTTCCGATCTTGATCAAGCGGACACAGCAGTTGATCCAGTCAACATGGGGACGGATCATGGTCCAGACCCTATCCCAAAGCACAACGATGTGACTTCAGTCCCTAAAATTAAACAACAGAAAGAGGAAGAATTCGACTTAAATGAGTCTCCGGTAAAGAGATGCAAAAAGAAAAAGAATCTCTCCAATGACTTAGAAAATACGGATAAAGCCTCCATTACTACAACTATACAGCGAAAAGCCAACTTAGTTTACTTAATAATACAACAGCAGAGACTTCCGATCCTGATCAAGCGGACACAACAGTTGATCCAGTGAACATGAAGACGGATCATGGTCCAGACCCTATCCCAAAGCACAACGATGAGACTTCAGTCCCTAAAATTAAACAACAGAAAGAGGAAGAATCCGATTTAAAAGAGCCTCCGGTAAAGAGACGCAAAAAGAAAAAGAATATCTCCAATGACTTAGAAAATACGGATAAAGTCTCCATTACTACAACTATACAGCGAAAAGCCACACCTACAGATGAGACTTCCTTTACAATAACTGAACGGAAAGTAAATCTACTGCACAGCAGCATAAAACTCAAAAGTATCATCAGAGGACTTAAAAACCGATGTTGAGATTCCAGATATTAAGAAAGAACGAGCAGATATTGGACTAGGGCCAATCAAAATCGAGCATATGAGAAAGAGGCATGGCCAAGAGTACAAGCTCATCACACTCTTCGTAGTCATTCTCACAGATAACACCAAAAATCGTGAGATATACAACTTCGAACACCTACTTTCAACATCAGTTCGGATGAAGAGATTTCGCGGCGGCCGCCACGAGATTCAATGTTACAGATGCCAGAACGCAAAAGTCCTACACAGCCGAGTCAGCTCGCATGAAATGTACCTACGCACATTTTTCGTACTTATGTACAAAACCGATTAGCGAGACGGCTAAATGTATCGTCTGTCATGGTAAGCAGTCAGCCTGCTTTTCAAGCTGCAGTGTAAGACCCAAAAG